AGGTGTGTGTGTGTGTGTGTGTGTAGGTGTGTGTGTGTGTAGGTGTGTGTGTGTAGGTGTGTGTGTGTGTAGGTGTGTGGTGTGTAGGTGTGTGTGTGTGTAGGTGTGTAGGTGTGTGTGTGTGTGTAGGTGTGTGTGTGTGTGTAGGTGTGTGTGTGTGTGTAGGTGTGTGTGTGTGTGTAGGTGTAGGTGTAGGTGTAGGTGTAGGTGTAGGTGTGTGTGTGTGTGTAGGTGTGTGTGTGTGTGTAGGTGTGTGTGTGTGTGTGTAGGTGTGTGTGTGTGTAGGTGTGTGTGTGTGTGTAGGTGTGTGTGTGTGTAGGTGTGTGTGTGTGTGTAGGTGTGTGTGTGTGTGTGTGTAGGTGTGTGTGTGTGTAGGTGTGTGTGTGTGTAGGTGTGTGTGTGTGTAGGTGTGTGTGTGTGTAGGTGTGTGTGTGTGTAGGTGTGTGTGTGTGTAGGTGTGTGTGTGTGTAGGTGTGTGTGTGTGTAGGTGTGTGTGTGTGTGTAGGTGTGTGTGTGTGTGTAGGTGTGCGTGTGTGTAGGTGTGCTGTGTGTGTGTAGGTGTAGGTGTGTGTGTAGGTGTGTGTGTGTGTAGGTGTGTGTGTGTGTAGGTGTGTGTGTGTGTAGGTGTGTGTGTGTGTAGGTGTGTGTGTGTGTAGGTGTGTGTGTGTGTAGGTGTGTGTGTGTAGGTGTGTGTGCATGTTAGTGTGTGTGTGTCTGGAGGTGTGAATTTGTTTGTCTGTTTGTTTATTTGTATGTGTTTGTGTGTGTAAGTACACTTATATAGTAATATAAACAAGTCAGCATGTGAAAATTGTTGTCCTCATAAATAAAGAGGCCTTGGAAGCTACTGAACTGACAAGGTGAAATACAAAGTTTGCCACTGTGAACCGACCACACCGAAATCACCCATACATTTCACTAACCAAAACAAATATTCCTCCACACCATCCGCAGAAAGAAAGAAAGAAAGAAAGAAAGACTGAGAGAGAGAGAGAAAGAGAGAAAAAAACACACGAGCAGAAACCCTTCTAAAAAATATTCCCCCCCTCCTTCGATCACACACATTTTTTTTTTTTCTTTCTTCAGCCGTGTGCATCTCTATAATGATCCCATGAATAGTAGATGTGCTCCATTTCTTTCCAGGTGCTGACTGCCGGAAAATCTTGGACACGTCTAAAGAACTCGTTTATTCGGGGATTCGGTTCCATAACGGGAAGGCCTGAGGCACTTTTGTAAATAATTCCCTGCCAATTACTATTTTTTTTTTTTTTTTTGTGAAGTAAAAGATAAAAATACCTAATTATCACTGCATATTTAACATATTTGAAGAAATCATTTGATTAAAAGCCTAACAGTTATAGCAATGACAATGAATACAACAATAAGGCCATAAACATTTTTTCATAAACAGTCTAAAACCATCTTTATCATTTAAAATATTAAAGTTTTCCTTTGGATTGGTTATCTTTATTACTCTCAATAATCATCAGCTTTCACATCTTTATTGCTTACCTTAAGTACTTTATGCCACATAATTCATTCACTCAGTTTGACTTTTGAGAAGTCAAAGTAAGCAAAGGCAATCATTTATCAATATCCTTATTTAGTATCAAAAGGAAATGGAATGTGTTGTAAAGTACAACCAGATACCCTCCAGTAGCTCTAGTTTGATCTTCCTTCTACCATTTCAAACAATTAGCCTAACTAGACTAGTTAAATGAACTGTAATTTTCCCTCTTACGTTGGTACCTTCAAAGACGGAATTCATTGCATAAAAAGAACTAATTACTATGTGCAGTTTGAGGATATGCACATTTTTCTTAGTCACTTATCTAGAAAAGCTGCACAGAAACACCATAATGAAACAATCATTATCTCATTCTATAGCTCATCCACCTATCTCCCCCAACAACTTGAAAGCAAGAAAAGTAACTGCAGAAGAAACACTGTCATTAAATAGTTTTGTTCTAATTCCATACTAAGGCTTGTCCTGCTCACTGACTGTTACTCTCCTCTGCATTAAATATTTGCTCTTTGATCACTGCCAGGTGCAATAGTGTGTTAAAAGATTCATTAGAAGATATTAATAGTAATGGCAGTCAGCATGGAGATGACTGATAGAAAAGTAAATTAAGTACAAACACATGTATAAACAAGATCCAAAATTACTCATACATAAATACCTAGTCTGAATATCACATGGCTTAAATATCTCCTTGTCAGCCTTAATTTCCTTTCATATCTACCAACTGCTTCACCTTTTATGGTACTATATGATAATCAACTCATGTAAGTTAATCAATCTATGATCATGCTTGATAGTAATAGGAAAGCTAACACATTGGGATTCCAAACATATCTGTTATACCTGGCAACAAGCTGTCTGTCTTTCCCATTTAATAAGTGACTGAGGAAATGTTCATTCTAGGGCACTACATGAAATATATTAAGCATGATCATGATGGCTTAGTCAAGGGAAATTATGAACAATTTTGACTGGTGTGGAAAGAGAAGCATGTGATGCATGGTTTTTTATTATAGTTTCTTGATTCAAGTGCTAATGGAGCATGGGCAAAGGGTGTTTCCAGATGTCTTCTTTGTTGATTCCTGTCTTATGCCTTTTATCTCGTGCACATGTGCATTATCGAGATCGTTGCAGATTGCGCTGTCCAACATTAGATGTCTTATGTTTACAGCAATAGATGTTCAATTTTTGCAAATCCTAATCAATATTCATAACTGATGTTAAACTCTTTGTCTGGCTGTTTGTCAGAATAATGTACATGATTCTTACCTACTGGAGCTACAGGTCTATACTTCTAGATTTCACTTGTATGGTTATGCTAGGTGTTCAAATGCTGAAGTATTATGCACCTGGTAGTTCTCATCCTATTCTATGTATTCGACTAATCTAAAACTTCTGGAAATGTCTAAATATTAGGCCTACACGGATTATCAATAAAGTGTTGTCTGGCTAGAGTAAACTTTATTCAGAAGTCTTAATAAAACAGCCTGTACTTTCAATATTTACCTTAGAATTATATAATAAACTAAACTTACAAGTACAATATAGGTCACTTTCAATATTTACCTTAGAATTATATAAACTAAACTTACAGGTACGATATAGGGTATCCAGCATCCTACAAATATAAAATCTCAATACAAAAATAAGAATCTCATTCGTAATGTCTTTCACAGAAGATTTTTGGTCAATGGAAATACTATTCTCTCTACTCAGTTATTCTTAGTGTCTTCTTTCATAATTCCAATCTCTTGAACCATTTATGTAAGTCATTATATAAAAAAAAATGCCCCAATTTGTTCAAATCATCTAGTATAAGTTCAACATTTATGCATATCCTGTGTTTCCAATATTTTTCCACTAGCCTAAATAAAGAAGGAAATTAGTAATATTTAACTCTTGAAAATATCTTAGCATCATAAATGGTACCATAATATATACTGAATTTAATACAAAGAAGAAAGTGGCCAGATCTGTAATACTGTAATCTGAAATAGTAAAATTAATCAGTAATGTGAAACAATAAAATTCATCTGCAATAACTAATAATATAACTGATCCTTCACCTATAATTGTAAAAATCCAATCACTAATAATATAATTGATCCGTCACCTACACTGGTAAAAATACATACAACTACCTCAATGAAATACGAATTAGACCGATATTGAGCAAAGTAGTGCAAATGACACCCAAAAATCGAAAATCGGCTCCAAGAACAAGCAATGCCAATAGAGAGAGAGAGAGAGAGAGAGAGAGAGAGAGAATAGAGAAAGAGAGAGAGAAAATAGAGTGAGAAAAAAAATAGAGAGAGAAAAAAAAAATTAATCAATCTCTGCCAATAAAGAAAGAAAAAAAATTATTCCCGTCTTCCCGTCTCAGTTCCAACCCTTCATCACGAAGACCGAAAACGGCCTCCACACCTTCGTAAAATCCTGGGAGAAAAATAATTAAGGAAATTAACCGCAATCCTGACCATCACAATTCCCTTAACTGAACTTATTATTACGCAATTTTTTTTCTTTTTTTTTCCTTAATTTCCCATTGCCAAGTTCCGACTCCCCGTGCCTTTTTTCTTCCATAAACTCAACTCCTTCTCAACCCTGATAATTATCTCTTCCCCAAAACAGGCTCTACGTCATGACATACCATTTACAGTAGCCTGGGCCGCTGCCATAAGGCCCAAGAGGGAAAAAAGCAAGAAAATAGACTTCATGGCGTATCGACTCCCGTGTCCCGTGACCTGATCCGAGGAACTGATGTTTACAGCTGGCCGGAGGAATGAGTCAAGAAAGCATCCGTGGAGACTATTCTTTTTGGATCTTTTTATTTTTTTGTGTGTGTTATATTTAAAAAACATTGTTTTAATACATATATTTTATTATTTTTTATACCGTAATTTTTCTTTTGCTATTTAAATCGGGTAAAAAGTGCTCTCTATATAAGAGTTGCTCGCTATGCTAATTCCTCGAATGACAGTTTAATATATTTATTTCGTCCACATTAATTTTTTTTCTGATAAAAGTGAAGCATCTATTCAACTGTTTACTTTTCATTAATAATTTTTACATGGATACCAAACCCAATCATTCATCATATTTCATGGTAGAATAGCAGAAAAAAACATAAGCAGAAAAATAACAAATAACTAATTAGTTGCAACAAACAAACATAATTAAAAAAATAACAAAATTTATAAGAATAATATATAAACACAATAAAATCAAAATAAATATACAGATAAAAAGCTATTCTTCTTAAAAAAAAATATATATATACTCATTTGACTTTCCTCAATAAACACCCCAAATAAATCCTACAAATAACACAGATACTCAAAAAAACAAAAATCATATCTTTAAAAAAAATCACACAAACCTAACAATCACAGAAAATAAATATTACAACCAAAACAATCCCAAACAAATCCCAAGAGTATAGTTGTTCGCTTGACTTCTCGGGTTGTTTACCAAACATGTCGGGCGGAATGGCAGACGAGAGAGAAAGGGCTGTTTACATGAAATTAGAGGCGCTTAAGGACATCAGGTCAGTTATTGGAGGGTATATTGGTGGTTTTTAAGTTGGGTTTTTGCTCTATGGAGTAGCCATTGATACTTATATTTGTGGGTTTTTTTTTGAGAAGGTCGAGATCCTGTGGCTAATTTTCGGCTCTGATGTCTGTAATTTTTTTATATTTTTCTTTTAGAATTTTCCGTTTAGACAATTTCCTTTAATTCAATGCATTTATGACGTCGCCAGTTTTTCAATATTTTGACTTCTATTTGCATGCAAAATAATTTCTTGGTTCAAGAGAATGGTAGTAATGAAAAGGAAGGTTTTATTTGACCGGCAGCCGGTCAAATGTATAAAAACAAACGCATGAGTAGTCATTTTCCTTCCAAGGCTCATGTCTCGGATTGACCATGTAGAGAACAACTTTTATCATCACAATTTTCTGAATTGGATTTACAATTACATATATTTTCATGATTATGGCATACACAAGCCTGTGGCATTGTTAATCTGAATGTAATTACTAAAAGCACTAATATGATTGATAAGGCATTAGTGGGTTAATGTTACTGAGAGCAATGTACGGTGAGAGAGGAAAATGGACATTGCCATATTAGAGAGCATGAGCAATAGGGTAATAAACGGCACAGTTGCTCCGGGCTCATATTTACTACAAAAAGACAAACATATCCACGGCATATTACCGCTGAGAGACAAAGTTCTTAATGTCACATATTTTGTATGTTACCATGAAGTACTAAGAAAGAGGGGGGGGGGGGTACATGAAGGCTTACCCCCCCTGCTTAAGGAATAAAGTGAAGGTATGAAAGCATAGGTTTGGATTTTGGGTTCACGCACTACTCCGGTTTTGGGACTTTGTCTCTGGAAGGTGCGTTGTTTTTGGTAATAAATAGCCATTAGTGTCATCGTGTAAAAAGACCAGACTAGAAACTATAATATGCGAACTCTTAAGATATATTACTCCAAAATTTCATAGAAACATAAAAGATTCTAGTTTTATCAAAGTATACACAGGGCTTGATTTCAAATACAGTTGAGTTTCTAGTCATAATCTCTTACTTTCCCATCACTTTTTCCCTCTGTGAAATCAGAATATTAGGTTGTTCAGTCCCTTACTGTCACTATAGTAATAAGAAAGAGCAAGAGATTCCCTTCATATTAGAGAAACATGACCAGATTACATAGAACTTTGTATATGATTGCCTCTTCTATTCATGGATACTGATTTTAAAGCATATTTTCATTGGAATTATTGAATGTCATTTCACTAAATATTAGGTTATTCCTTACACCTGCCTTTCCTTGCTGCTGCTACTAGCCTATGCAATGACGGTCCTGGACTATTTGAACCTCTAAGGAAGAGTTTGTAGCTGGCAATAATGCGTCAGATAAGGAATAATTTTTAAGTCTTGTCTTTCAATTTTTTTGTCTTTGTCAGAGTAGAAAGTACAGAGTCTGTGGTAATTGTTTCATGCTGTATCCCTATTGAGCTGGTCATATAATTGTAAAAAAATAGCAAAAGTTTGTGGTTTTCCTGTTAGAAAAAACTAGTGTACATTACCATCTGAGGAATTCACAGAGTTAGGAAATTATACTATCGGAAGTTTTCCTTATACTGTAAACTGTGATTTTGTATATTGTGTTTGATTACTCTATGCTCAGATAGCCATGTTTGTCTTTCAGCAACCTGCATGATGTCTGCATCACACAACTATATAGAATGGTTGCTACTAATATTATATTGTGGTCCTTCACTAGCATTTTTATGAAAAAAAAAAATAAGAATGAACTTCATTGGAAACTACTAGCTGAACATCTACCCTGCTGATATTCAGTGCAGGAATAGTTAGCTACTGGACCACATCCCCCAGGGATTTCAACTCTTATTGTACCATCCACCAACCAACTTAATCCAAGCTAGGTGTAGCTTACATCCTAACTTAAACATAGCTTATGTATCATTACCCCCTCAACCCCCCTGTGGATGAGAATGTAATTAAATACAGGCTTGTGAGTGAGTGTCAGTTCAGTTCCTTTGTCTTGTCTGCAGTCCCGTTGTTTGTGACAAACTTCATTGTATCCAAAGTTCCTTTACACAGTGATTAGTTTAACACAGAGGGAGGGAGGGAGAGGGGGAGAGGGAGGGAGAGAGAGGGAGAGGGAGGGAGAGGGAGGGAGAGGGAGGGAGAGGGAGGGAGAGGGAGGGAGAGAGAGGGAGAGGGAGGGAGAGAGAGGGAGAGGGAGGGAGAGGGAGGGAGAGAGAGGGAGAGGGAGGGAGAGGGAGGGAGAGAGAGGGAGAGGGAGGGAGAGAGGAGGGAGAGAGAGGGAGAGGGAGGGAGAGAGAGGGAGAGGAGAGGGAGAGAGAGGGAGAGGGAGGGAGAGAGGAGGGAGAGGGAGGGAGAGAGAGGGAGAGGGAGGGAGAGAGAGGGAGGGAGGGAGG